AAGCCTGCTGGGATTTATTTGGTATTACACTGACTCTGTAGATCTATTTTTATTTTTATGTTTTTTTGAGACATAGATTCTTTGTTTCCTTTGGTAGTGCCGTGATATCATAGCTCACAGCTACCTCAAACTCTTTAGCTCAAGCACTCCTGAGTAATTGGGACTACATTGCTGGTCACATTGCCTGGGTATATATCTTTTTTTTAAGAGATGGGGGTCTCAGAAAAAAGAAAGAGATGGGGGGGGGTCTCACTTTACTCAGGCTAGTCTTTTTTTTTTGAGACAGAGCCTCAAGCTGTCCCCCTGGGTATTGTGCCATGGCATCACAGCTCACTGTAACCTCTAACTCCTGGACTCAAGTGAGTCTCCTGCCTCAGCCTCCCAAGTAGCTGGGACCACAGGCACCTGCTGCAACGCCTGGCTAGTTTTTGGTTGCAGCTGTCATTGTTGATTTGGTGGCCGGGCTGGATTCGAACCCACCACCTTAAGTGTATGTGGCTGGCGCCTTAGCCACTTAAGCCACAGGCGCCGAGCTGCTCAGGCTAGTCTTGAACTCCGGCCAGTGTAGATCTTTTTGAAAGAATTGTCATCCTTAGCTTAGTCTTCTAATGCATGAATACTAGATTTGTAAAGAATTTTCTGGCTTAGTGGCTTTGGCTCAGTGGGTTGGAACCTGGCCCTTGCCTGCTATAAACAACAATGACAACTACAACAATAATGACAAAAAAGTATTTGGGTGCCTGTAGTCCCAGCTACTTTGGAGGTTGAGGCAAGAGAATTGCTGTGAGCTGAGGTACCACAGTACTCTACTGACGGTGACATAATGAGACTCTTGTCTCAAAAAAAGAAAGTATTGGATGGCACCTGTGGTTCAAAGGAGTAGGGTGCCAGCCACATATGCTGGCGGTGGCGGGTTCAAGCCCAGCCCCGGCCAAAAACTGCAAAAAAAAAAAAAAAATATATATATATATATATATATATATTTTCTAATTGCTTACTATTGCTATATAAAAGTACAGTTGATTTTATAGACTTTGTACCTACAACTTTCCTAAATTCATTTATTAGTTCTGTTAGCTTTGTGGTAGACTCTTTAGGGTTTTGTACGTACATCATGTTGTATGCCAATAAAGATAGTTTTACTCTTTCCCTTCTAATCTGTATGTCTTTTATTTCTTTTTCTTCTCTGGATAGAATTTATAGTTAAATAAAAATGGTGAAGGTGAATTATTACCTTGTTACTTGTATTGGCTATAAAACATTGAGATTTGTCATTGACTGACTGTGATTTTAACTGTAGGTTTCTTTCTTTTCTTTTTTTTTTTTTTAGAGACAGAGTCTTACTTTGTTGCCCTTAGTAGAGTGCTATGGCGTCACAGCTCTTGCCTCAGCCTCCTGAGTAGCTGGGACTACAGGTGCCTGCCACAATGCCTGGCTATTTTTTTATTGTCGTTGCAGTTTGGCACGGCTGGGTTTGAACCCTCCACCCTCGGTGTATGTGGCCCGCACATACTCAGTGAACCACAGGTGCTGCCCAACTGTAGGTTTCTCATAGGTGCCTTTTATCAGATTGAGGAATTTCCAAAATATTTCTAATTTGCTTTGATAATTTACTTTAATTTGATAGAGTATTAAACTTTGTAATACGCTTTTTTCCCTGCCTTTCTTGAGTTAATATGGAGCATTAATTTTGAATTAATTTAATTTAATTTTATTGTATTTATTTATTTTTTTGAGACAGAGCCTCAGGCTCTCACCCTGGGTAGAGTGCCGTGGCATCACAGCCTACATTTCTTGTAGTGTGGGTCTATAAGTGATATATTTTTTCTGGTTTTCTATATCTCAAAATGCCTTTAACTTTTTAAAAGAAAAGCTATGTTGAGTATATCTTATAAAATTTACCCATTTCAAATATATAATTTGATGATTTTTAGAGTAACTCTACCGATAGTTGTACAGCAATCAGTATAAATCAATTTTGGAACATTTTTCCTCCTGTAATAAGATCCAGCGTGCCCATTTACAGTAAATCCCTATTCCTAACTCCAGTGAACCACTAATCTAATCTTTGTCTCTATAAATTTCCGCTTTCTCGACATTTCGTATAGACAGAATCATGTGATACGTGGTTTTGGTATCTGGCTTCTTGTGCTGAGTTTAATGGTTTTGAGGGGGCATCCTTTGATGTAACATGTGTTAGTGTTTTATTGATTTTATTTCAGAACAATATTCTATTGTATGAACATAACACATGTTGGATGAGTATTTTGGCTGGTTTCAGTTTGGTATATAGTATATAATGCTGCTGCGAACATTCAGTGCAAATCTTTGGGACATATATTTTCATCTCTTCTGGGTAGAGATAAATTGCTAGGCAGGATGGTAATTTTATGTTTAACTTTTTGAGAAACTTAACCTCTCTTCTTCTTCTTCTTTTTGGACAGAGTCTAACTTTGTTGCCCTGGGCAGAGTGCTGTGGTGTCATCCTTCACAGCAACCTCATACTCTTGGGCTTCCGAGTTCCTTTTGCCTGAGCCTCCCGAGCAGAGATCCTTTCGCCTCAGCCTCCCTCTGGGGCAGCCTCTATACATACCTACCACAATGCCCAGCTATTTTTTTTTTTTTTTTTTTTTTTTTGTAGACACAGGGTCTCCAATTTGTGAGCTCAGGCTATCCACCTGCCTTGGCCTCCCAGAGTTCTGGGATTACGGGCATCCCGCTGCGTCTAGCCAACCTTTCTTTTTTTTTTTTTTTTGGAGGCGGGGTTTCACTCTTGCTCAGGCTGGTCTTGAACCTGTGAGCTCAGGCAATCCACTCGCCTCAGCCTCCCAGAGTGCTAGGATTACAGGCGTTAGCCATCCCACCTGGCCTCAACCTTTGTTTTTGAAGAATATTTTCTCTGGATATAGAGTTTGAAGTTAACATTTTTTTTTTTTTTCAGTACTTAAAGATGTTGGTCTTCTGTCTTCTCACTTGTATTGCTTCACTGTGAATTCTGTCATCTCTAGTTTTATTCCTTTATTATGTATGTTTTTTTCCTCTGGATGCTTTTACTTATTTTTATTTTCCTTTGAGACAGAGTTGTACTCTGTTGCCCACGCTAGAGTGCTGTGGTATCATTATAGCTTACTGCAATCTCAAACTCCTGGGATCAAGTAATCCTCCTGCCTCAGTCTCCGAAGTAGCTGAGACTACAAGCATCTGCCACAACACTAGGATAATTTTTCTATTTTTTTTTTTTTTT